GACTAAAAGGTACAGAGTTGTCTAGTGGCCAAATCAGTTATCTCCCTATACCCTTGCCACTAGGCAATACTCCTCCTCCATGTTATATGCTGCCCACCTTGCGGGATTAAGAGGATCAAAAATAACCTAAGTGCTCAAAAAAAGGTAGTGAACATAATTAAAATGCAAACCATACACACTGCCCGAGGAGCACTGGGAACTTACTGTGAACAGTGTGCATGTGAAGCGTGGAAGTTGAAGTGCTAAAGCACACCACAGGAGCCACAGAGGGAGCATTCAGAGCTCTTGGTCAGCTCTTTATAGACCAGCACTAGGGCAGGCTCAACGTGGCATGGCCTCTCCGTGCTAATCAAAAGACTTTAACAATAGTTAAGCTCATACCTCTAAAACAGTAAGTGTATCCAAGGGCCTTGTAAACACGATCCAAAATGTCTTTTTCACACTTGGTATTGTTTGCTGACACCACTCTAAAGGAAATGAAATGCAGACTCAAGTATGCCCTGGGAAATACCTCCTCTCCCTGGGACTCACCCCTGCAGTAACAGGGGTAAACAGGCTTCAACACTGTGAAAAGGCTCTAGTTGCTCAAAGATGTGTGGAGGCAACATAAGTGAGCTCTGTGGTGGGCCGGGCAGCTACGAAGCAAAATTCTAGGGATCACATGCCCTGGGTTAGGAATGTCCCATCCTCAGAGTTTATAAATGGAATGGATCCAACTTCTCCCTTTACAACAAGAAAAGCTCTACAGTGCCGAGGGATGTATATGAGCAACAATTTTGTTGTGCTGCAAGGGTGTGGGCTATAAATAAATGGGATTTTTAAAAGCCTTATAAAAGTGAGAAAATTGAAAGAAAAGAAACAGTAAATGGAAAACGTGAGGGGGGATAGCATGAGACAGGAGAGAGAACAAAAGAAGTGTAAGGGGAAGTTTCTTAGGCTTTGTTGATTTGGTAATCTCCTCATTTCCCCACCAAAAAAAAAAAAAAACATCGTAATATTTACACTACCTGCTATTATTTTTGGTGTGGGTTCTGTATTTTGAAAAGGGTCGGGGCATGGGGAAGGAAAGTTCTATAACTAACTTCAGTGAAGCCCAGAGGCTGCCCAAAGGGGCCCCATAGTTATAAGCCACTAGAAATCCCCTGGCTGAACATCTGTATAAAAAGAGTGAAAAAAGGTGACCTACAAGGCATTCCTTGTATGAACTGGCCTGCACAACTAGCAGATTCTCACTAGTAAATATCGGAAAGATTGTGGGACTTCTCCACCATGATCTTATTCCAGGTTACTGTATGGCACAAAGAAAGCAAGCGTGTACTGTACAAAATAATTGCGTATGTGGTGAAATACACATTTCACCAATGAATTATAGTTCCCAGCAGCTCTTACGTTCACTGAAAACCCTCAAATGAAGATTGAGATAGCAATAGCTGAAGGTCTGTACTCACAGCCTTCAGAAAGTGAAGTCCTGATTAGAGTCTTTGAAATGCTAACTGAGAACCCTTCTGGTATGTAGTCTGGATTAGGATACTTCAAATGTTAACTAGGCATGGATTAAAACTAATTTATACTCACGCATTTATCGTCCTTGCTAAAGTATTTTAAAGACAAATTGCAGCCACTGTAACAGCTTATTGTCTTTGGTCCTGCAGCTAGTAAGTGGGACAGGAACTTGGGGTGGCCCAAAGCAGACATTACCACCATTAAAAGGAGTGTATAGTCTAGTAAGAGAAATGGACAAGTAAACAGATAAAACAGAGTGAGAAAAAACAAATCCTAAATTTGCAAAGAGTAAAATTGGTTGTTTGTGTTGCTTTAAAAGCCCATCCTATTTTTTCAGTAAGACCATTGGCTACTGATTTAGGGAAAAAAATTCTGATTCTTCTTTACATGATTAAATTCCAAATGACTGGCAATATACATGAAAACATAAAATGTACCAATTCTTTAGCATTTCCCTTTCCAACATTTACCTTAATGAGGTAATCATATACATGAAATATATCTATGCATGAAGATGCATAAGGATTGCCCTACCACATAAGTATGTTAGAAAAAAATCAGAAATAATTAACACTAATCAATAGGGAATTGATTAAGCTAATTAGTATAATTCACCAGAACAGACTACTAAGCAGCCATCAAGCATACCGATGTACCTTATTGTTGATATGGAAAAATGACTACAGTTATGTTGAGTGATTTTTAAGATCAATGGAGGAAAAAAACAATATAGCTTATCTGAATATAAAACTGGAAATGGGGATCCCTGGGTGGCGCAGCGGTTTGGTGCCTGCCTTTGGCCCAGGGCACGATCCTGGAGACCCAGGATCGAATCCCACATCGGGCTCCCAGTGCATGGAGCCTGCTTCCCCCTCTGCCTGTGTCTCTGCCTCTCTCTCTCTCTCTCTGTGACTATCATAAATAAATAAAAATAAATTTAAAAAAATAAAATAAAACTGGAAATGTGTGCATATGGTGTGAAAGAAAGTTTGCCTAAACGTTAAGAGCAATCTTCTCTGAATGATGAGATCCACAATGAATTTTGCCTTCCTTTGTGTATTTTTGTGAATTATTTAAATGTTTATGATGATACAGGCATGGCTAATGAGATGGCTTATTATTTTGGGTTTACACTCTTTAATCAAATCAATTAATACCACTCACCAACTCCAGCCAAATTTAAAATAAATCCCAAAACTTTATTGTGGTCTAGCCTATACCTGCCCCTGCCCTCCATCATTTACCACCCACCCCCACCCCCAGTTCATTACCCTATAGCCATATAGACCATCACTCAATATCTTCAGGACACGACTTCTTTCGACCTGACAGTAACAGAATATTCTATTCCCTCTACTAGAAGACCTACGAACCCAATCTTTACCTGCCAAGCTTTTCCTTATAATCTAATATCAAATGGGTTGTCAATTCTTCAAAGAGGCATTCCCTGGCCTACAATCCAAATTAAATCTCCACTGCATCCTCTCCTAAAAACAAGTACTCATCTACTCCAGCTTTTATGACCAGGCATGATTACATACTTGTTAGCATATTTCTTTAAAGTCAAATTTACCATTGGACTATTAGCTCCAAGTAGAAAGTCACCACCACACCCCAGTACCTGCCTGGGATCTGACACTTAGAGATTCAATGTATCTCTGCTGAGAAGAGCTGGGCAAGTGGAACATGTGATTTTAAATTCCAAAACAAAGTTAATACCTAGCATCTCTTGAGAACTTTGTAAGAAACTAGTTTTACCACCTTTATTTTCATTTATTTCTGATAAAAGTGGGTTATCATTATCCATGGTATATTAGAAGACTAAAAAGAAATTAAGTGACAAAAAAATCAAGATAATAAATGAAATTTCTAATAAATACAAATAATAAAAATGCTGATGCAATTCTTAAAACCAAGCTTCAGCAATAAATAAAGTTAAATTTTCCACTTCTACTAGTTTTTAGCCCATGGAAATTACCCACACATGCAATATACACACACATAGGCACACACTACATACATATACACATAAACCAAGAATCTATCAGACTGTTTTCTCTATGAATTATCTTTTACAGTGATACAAAAAAACACTCATCTAATAAGAATAGTTGTAGCAAACACCTTCCTAGAAGCCAAGTAACAAAATTTTGTAAATAAGCTTAAAATAATATAATGAGCGCTTCCAAAACAGAAATTTCAAATAGTCAAAGAAGACTCAATTTTGCTAAAGAAAAAGTTAATAACACAGAAAATAACAAGCCTTCTCACTGCCCTCTATTTTCTCTCTTTTGTTGCCCAATTGATGATGATGATGATCTATATAGCCCGAGTAAAACTCCCAGCTTTAGGAGCCCAGAAATATTGGGCAAACATATGTTTTAATATTTTATGTTTGAACAAGAACAGCAACTGTATTTATCCCAAATAACATTTAGACTGTTCACTCTCAGAAGGGTTTTATTCTGAATTTGACTTTAGATTTCAAAAAGAGCTGCTCTTCACAAATAGAAAATGGGGAATCCCTTGTGGCAACAGAAAAATTCCAATGAAAACTTTTATCATTTAATTTCTGACTGAAGTAGTTTCAAGTTGACAACCATTATATTATTATAATAATGAAACACTTTATCATGTGATTGATTTTCCCTAAAATACCTGAGAAATATCTAAGACATTTAAATTTTTCCCTGGAAACATCTTTCAAACACCCTAGGTACTGAGTTTTCCATTTCCACCACTTAAATAAATAGTGTGTGTGTGTGTGTGTGTGTGTGTGTGTATCCATAAGTGTAAAAAAAGTGAGCTGCAACTCTAGAAATGACAGAAATTATTTCTCTTGAGATGAGATGTATCTCAAAAATGTTTCAATTAATATCACACATAGTCTTACCATCTTTAATATTTCACAGTCTATCCCATTTCTTAGAGACTGGCATCTTTTCATAAATGATATTTCCCATGTCAGGGAAGGCAAAGCTCATGATGAAATGTTAACAGTTTGACTACAGTTTCAATCACTTCTGGCTTCTCTTCTGGAAAAAGGAGGGAATCAGCAACCATTCTGAGGTCATTCATAGGGAGGGCTTTTCTTCCCCTAAGGTTTGGTTATTTTGCTTGAACTCCACGTTAGCTATGAACATCAGCTAAATTTGGGGTTATTGAATTTTTAATATTCAGTATTAATATTCAGAATTAAGAATTAATATTCAGTATTAATTTGTTCTCTTAATTCTTAATATTCAAGAAATATTCAAGATTTTTAAATTTCAAGGTGGTTACAATTATATAATATATATAATAATATATATATTATATATATATGAGAGAGAGATATTAAAGCCCCTTGGGGGGTAGTGGAAGGGGAGATGGGTGGGGGGGATGGGGTGACTGGCTGACAGGCACTGAGGGGGGCACTTGACAGGATGAGCACTGGGTGTTATACTATATGCTGGCAAATCGAACTCCAATTAAAAAAATACCAAAAAATAAATAAATAAAGTCCCTTGAGTTTATTTTTCCTCTTAAAGAATTACTATAAGTTTAGATTCTCATTTAGTTCTGGGGAGAAGATCTTCTAGCAGTCTCCATAGATTTCAATTTTGCTCTCAAGGCTGCTGAGACCTCTAGGGAGATCAAGCAGCATCAAATGAGACCTAGAGCTCTTAGATTAATTTTGAACTCAAGATCACCGGTGTCTCCATCCTCATCCTCAATCTCTTCAGCTCCAGGGAGCCAGAGTTCATGAGAAATGGCAATCCTTTCCTTATGACATGATTCCATAGGATGCCTTCTTCTATCTGTGTGCCTACAAAAACAAAAGACACCAGATAACCTGAATCACTAGGATAGTCCTAATCTTGTGTATTTAACTGGTCTGATATACAGCCTTTCTTGTGCTGAAAATGAAATCATTTAGCACAGTCACAGACTGTGGGAGAAAAAAAAATGCCCTTGAATCCCTTCTCATGCTAGGACATTCCCTGAGATCTCACCTGAAGTGTTTGTGGCTGGTTGTATCCAGGGCAGGGCAGGCCATATAAGGTTTCTGGAAGCCTGTCTGGGTGAGAGGTCAACCTGTCCATTCCCAAACAGGCTTTGTTCTCACCACTTCTCTGCCAGGCCCTCTATTATGCTGCCCCAACGATTTGAGTTATTCACCACTGAGGAAGTTTTATGGGAGAAGAGATCCAAACTGCAAAATAGGAACTTTTTTTGTATCTTCCTGGTAGGAGTCTAAAAAGAATGGAATAAAAGGATTTTCGTTCAAAAACATATATCAAAGGGTAAAAAATGGTAGAATTTGCTGAAACCTAACTTGAATAAAAACACCTCATGCCCTTAGGGAATAACAATCGTCCACTAGTATATCATCATTAATTAGTATGTATCTTTACCACTAAACTGTTAACTTGATGAATGCAGGGACTATGGTTCTCTGGCTCACCACTGTACACTAGTGTCTAGCAAAATGGCACATAGTGGGCACTCCATAAATATTTATTGAATAAATAAATGAATGAGTCTATGGTACAAAGAGCCTTTCTTGTTCAAAACAATAAGCACAGTAGAAATCCAAATATTAAATGTTTTATATTGTTTTTAGCACTAAACCCATTTTATTGCTTCACATTTATTTGAAAATTGCACATTGTGGCACAGAGATCTCTTCTTTCCCTATGGAAAACCAGATCTATATATAGTTCAGAAACCATAAACATCAGTCTGAAGGCACATATAATAAATTATCTCCTACACACAATACCCTGAATAAATAAAAAAAGAGAAATAAAAATATCATCTTTTATTTTATTCTGAACCTATAGGTTGATTTAATTAAGTGCAGTCACCTAATTTCATTTTATTCTGATCATGTGGCCAAGTATATGTCATCACAGGAGTTATATGCCACTATTTAGAAGATATCCTCAAATATCTTTAACAAAATATTGATCAGTAATGGGCCCATTCTGTTCATGAAGTGACTATTATGGACTCAAGCTATACTCGGAAATATCTAAAAGATAAAATAAATTTAAAGCTGAAAATGAAATAGAGTTGACATAATTGTCAAAGTAACTGAATAGTCAACTTAAGAATGTAACTCACATTGAGAATATTCTTAGATATACTCCTATTTTGCTGATAATTCAGTAGAACCAAATTCCTACCATTTTTGGGCAAAACCAAATATTACCTGATAGGCTAGCAAAACAACCATAATGTTTCCTCCATAAATAAACCTTCCTATTTCAATCTTCGCACACAGTGTACTCTGCTTTGCACCAGTGACCTTAAAAGGAAGCAGTATCTCCCTAGTTTTCCATTGCTGTTTCGTTTCATGGATAAATCACTCCAAGAATGGCATGAATATGTAGAGAATTCCTGGCATGTAACTTGTTGTATGAACTCTTAAAACTTCTAGAAGGCTAGACCTAGAATGCATATAAATGCCCTGAGACCTGTGTTCTATGTGCTGTGGCCTAAAATTCATTCAAAGTTTGATCATTATTTAGACACCATAGAAATTATGGTTAATAGAAACAATACCCAGATACTACCATTTCCCCTGGGAGTACACCATGTCCCCCCCCCCCACCTCTAATCCCTGCACGCCCACACCTATCCTGAAAACATTCATGAGTATAATTGCCTCAGCAACTTGGATCAGGTTTTTGTTCCCCCCAAGTCAAGAATCCCTCCGCTAAAGAGACTGTTGCACCTTCTCCTTCTGGCACGTCGCATTCTCACAGTGGTGGGCTGGGTTTACTTGAAGTGATCAAAAGTCAAGGGAATTCCTAGAACATCAAAGCTACTGAAATCTTCGCATGTGTTTAGTTATTTGTTTGACTTTGTTTTTCCTTAAAAATATAATGGGGACCTACCAGTTTAGCCAGTGCTTATCTTGTGGTATCACACGTGAATAGGTTGTATAAAGGGTTTTTTTTTTTTTCCCTCATTAAGTCAAATTCTGTGCTGGTGCATAAAAGAACTGCATGAATAAAACTCTAAAGGTCTATTCTGAGTTCCTGCCTGTTATGCCAACAGTCACATTAGTCTGTTTCTTGTAACTGGAGCTATTACATGACTTCTACTATTTCCCAGACCCAATCCTGATCTAAAGAAAGGGGCCTTGAGTGGCTCCAGTCTTATAGTCCACATGCTGTCCACAGCATGAAAATACCCTTATTTAAAATACACTACCTAAAGAGATGTTCTTGACATGTTATGTGAGAATGATAGCTGTAAGATTGGGTAAGTGTATAAATCATTGTTTTGAAGGGAAAGGAGAGAAAAAATTGAAATAGAGAAGAGAAGGTATTCGTGAATGAAGAGAGAGGATGCTATAAAGACGGTTGCATGGAAACAGATCCATTGAAATGTTGGCTATGCTGGGGATAGAATATGAAATAGAGGATGGAAACTCCAAGATAAAAAAATTAAATGATCTGACCATAATATGCTTTCTTTAATGTGAAAAGATAAGTGTTAAAGTTAGAATAATGCCTCCAAAGATATCCATTCTCTAATCACTTAGAGCTCATGAATATGTGGCAAAGGGACATTGTGAGTGTCATGAAGGGGACAGACCTTAAAGCAGGGAGATTATCCTAGATTACCTGGGTGGGTGCAATCCAGTCCTATTAGTCCTCGAAAGTAGATAATTTGCGTAGCTGTGTGTTAGAGAGACAGACATTAAGAAGAATGATTAATTGGGGTCTTTTTATCTTTTAGTCAAAAATGATACAGTATCATTGTAGAAGAATGATTCCAAGCAAAAAAAGTAGTTGACCCACCACTGCTGGCTGTGAAGATGGAGGAAGTGAGCCAAGAGCCAAAGAATGTAGAGTAGCTTCTAGAAGCTGGGAATGGCCCTCAACTGGAAACCCACAGGAAAAGGAGATCCCACTCCTAAAACCAGAAGCAACTGAATTCTGCTAGTAACTCTAATAAACAGAGAGCAGATCTTCCTCTAGCTAGTTCCTCCAGAAAGGAGGAAAGGAACACAGCAGCCTGTCAACACTGATTTTATTCTGGCGAAACCTGTGTTGGACCTCTAATCTATAAAAACATAAGATAATAATAAATTTATATTATTTAAGGCTGCTACATTTATGGTAATTTTTATGGAAGCAATAGCAAAATAATAATAAAAATTATAGGATCTGTAATTATATTTAAATGGTGCCTTTTGAGTGTCCCCTCTGTTGAAAGCACTGTGCTCAGTACATATGTCCTATATCCCATTTAGCCCTTGCCATACGATCTCTATGTACTGCATAACCCAACTGTCTCTTTCTAAATATCTGCAAAAGCAGAACACGAGGGGAAGTACTGTAACTTGTTAAAATGGCCAGGAAAAATGTAGAATGCTGAGCGCCTGTGGGCCAGTCTCCTCTTATCACCCTACAGATCCTTCTCCAAAGTCCAGTAATCACAGCAATCTGATCACAGTGACACCAGACAGTCATGGCCTCCAGCTGTGGCTGTGAGTACCTTGGCTAAGCACATTCTGAAAAGGTAGATGCTGATGTTGCAGGTAAAGTCATCATTGAATCCAAGTACACATGTTCAGCATCTCTGCTTCTTGCTAAATTATAGTTTACATGAAAGGAGGAACACTATTGATTTGGTTCATGGTGCCATCTTCAGTGCTTGGCTCATAGTAAAGGCTCAACAACCATTTATTAAAGGAATCCATGACTGAAAGATCTCTAGACCAGTATCCAATGGGTTAAATAGCAAGCAAGACAACAGACCAGTGACTGCATATGTGGGTTTTCTGATTTGATTCTAAGATTGGAACAAATAATTTATCTACAATGGTACTGTATCATTTTTGAGTAAAAGATAAAAAGACCCCAAGTAAAAGTCAGTTGTTTAAAAATCTGGAAATTTGGGACGCCTGTGTGGCTCAGCGGTTGGGCATCTGCCTTCGGCTTGAGGTGTAGTTCTGGGGTCCTGGGATCGAGTCCTGCATCAGACTCCCTGCAGGGGGCCTGCTTTTCCCTCTGCCTCTGTCTCTGCCTCTCTGTGTGTGTCTCTCATGAATAAATAAATAAAATCTTAAAAAAAACCTGGAAATTTATAATCTGATGCCTCAAGAAGCTGGGAAAAAGAGTGGTTACGGGATTAGTTATTTTGGCTCTTGAGTGACATCCTCAAGGTATCAGCTTCTTTCTGTTTGTCTCGTCTGCTATCTTCAACATGCTGCTTAGTCCTTTAGCTAGCTTGTCTTGTAATTACAGGACAGATGCAGAAGATCTAGCCTCAACTCCTCACCAGATTTAACTAGAGACAAAAAAGCAACTGAACTTTCTCCTGCATCTTTTCTAAAGATCTTTCTCCCCAGTCCCTTCAACAGAAGTATACCGACTGGCCACACTTATATCACATATCCCTGTCTACTAACTAATCACTGTCAAGGTACACAGACTCATCATGACAGAAACAGACTTGATGAGATTCATTCCCTGGGATTTGGATGGGGCTCAGACTCTCCTGGTGGCCATGGCCATCAGACTGCTAAAACAAATGAACTTACTGTGATGAAGAAAAAGTAAGGAAAATGGCTGTTAAATAAATTGCTGCCAAGAGTTCCAGGTTAAGGCAAAGACAAGTCTATACAGCTACTTTTCTGCATAGACCTCTAATTGCCAGGCTGATATCACACACCCCCCCTCACCATTCTGAAGGTCAGCAATCATGTTTGTGATACACAATAGTATACCCAGTAAGATATCCAATAGTACTTTCACTTCTTCAGCTCTCACTGAGTTTGGATTTCTAGGTGTGTTTTCTGCCCTGATGAGTCACAGTAAGTTATAACACAAGAGAAAAAAATGACTTCCATGCCACTCTTCAGATCACTAATCCAGAGAAGCCTATGACATAAATAAAATAATGTTGAAAGTTTGAGAAATAAACTGAGAAAAAGCAAAAAGTGTGCATACCCTGGTTAACCTTATATAATTAAGCATATATTAAATTTGGTTGCCTGTTGCAGAGAAGTCTGTGGGACAGGCAAACATTCTTT